GAAGAGACAGGATAGGATTAAAGCCAGAAATATTGACCTTGGCACTTTACTATATTTATTTAACTAAGATTAAGCTTCCAGAAAACAGTAAATTTTTTTTACATTTTAAAATTTTTAAATAATTCTTGCCCTCACGGCAGAGCCTGGCAAGCTCCCCGTGGCGTATTCAATATGCCAAACACAGTCACAACTATTCTATATGCCAAACACAGTAACAACAAGTCTCACAATGGAGATGTTACTGGGACCACTTGAGCAAATCAATGAACAAAGCAAGGACAGTGCTACAGTGCAGTACTAAATAATTCTTTGAATTGATTCATAGACATCTTGTTTATAGAGCAAATTATTCACCAAGTGAATAGTAACAAAATGGGTAACAAAAATTAGTTTGGAATTTTTAATAATGTTTCTGTTTGCTTACCATTATTGTTTTTAGGGGTGGGGTTGTAAAAGAGTTCATTGAGAACTTAAAATTAAAAAAAACTATTTTTGTACCACACCAGGTAGTATTAGGTGTTACTCCCAACTCTGTGCTCTGTAGTGACTCCTGACATTGCTCAGAACCATGAGGTACTTGAGATCAAACCTCGGCCTCGTCTGCAAAGTACATGTTCAACACACTGAGGTATTTCTCCAGCCCCTGCAAATCAAAATCTTAACATTATGCCTATATTACTGATATAGAAAAGTTTGTTTTTCGTATACAAAATTAGAGGCTAGGTTTAATAAAGCAAAATGAAAGGCATTTAGAGATTGGCAAATCAGCTTATATAAAGCTGCTGCACAAATTTGTGGCAAAAATATTACCTAAGTGTTAAAAATTTTACTTGAAGTACATAGATCTTTTGTTACAACTGTTCAAACAGAACTTTAATAGTGGTGAAAGCAAATTGTATTTACTGTTATGAATTCACTTTTTAATCCATAGAGATCCAATGCTTCCAATAATTTAAAGATACTAGGTATTTTTATAACTAGTTATATAACATACAGAGATCATTTCCTGTGAATTATGGGTCCTGGGGATTTACATTCTTCAAAAGATATATGAAACTAAGGGCATTGTAACCCAGCTAGAAAGTTATTATTTTTACATTAACAGAAGAGATGGATTGACTCGATTAACATTGCTTGGGCTTGAAAGATTGTTAAATAACCTCAAGTAATGATTTGCTTTACTCAGTATGCAGTTCTATACGGTATTCTCAGAGGATCTTCTTTACAATATTTAAATGCATTTAACGTCTACTTTTAAATTACTAAGGTCTATGCACCTCCTAGCATGTTTGAAAAGAGAGGAAACATCTGCCAGAAGTATTTACTGTGATAAATACAGAAAGAAACTATAATGTGTACATTTTCTGTTTAATGCCATGTATTATTTTTAATTGAACAGTGAAAGCATTTGTTCAGAACAAGCCTTTAAATAAAAAACAGTTTGAACTAATCTTTAATTAAAGTGTACATTGATAGTATCAAGTTCAGTTTGGGGGTCAAAAACAACGTCAATGAGTCTGACTTTTTCCTCCCTGTAGGGAAAGTAGGCTTGTGTAAATATACATGAGCACAGACTTCAGGCATTCTAAAGGTGGTGGAAAACATTCCCCTGTCTTTGGACAGATGTTGCTTCACTGTGTTCCATATAGGTTACTGGCACAGCTCCCAATGTCCCTTAAAGGAGCATATACTTAAGCATTTTGGAAGCTTTCTAAGCTCTTTTCCTCCTCTCTACAGGCTCCCCATATGTATCTATCCTTCCTATCTATCTATCTATCTATCTATCTATCTATCTATCTATCTATCGTTACAGGGGGCTTGTTCTGGTTCAGTGCTTAAGGATCATTTCTGACAGTGCTCAGAGGACCATATGTGGTGCCAGGGATCAAATCCAGGTCAGCAAGTACAAGGCAGACACCCTACCCAATGTACTATTATCTCTCTGCCCCCCCCACATCATATAGTAAGTATAGATAATGCTAGATATGTTGGATGATCCAAGGCTATTTTTGTCTTAAAATAATAAACAGGGGTGCAGAGAAATAGTACAGTTGGATAAGGCACTAGCCTTGCATGTAGCCATCCTGGCTTTGATCCCTGAGTTATTCCTGAGTGCAGAGCCAGGAGTAACCCCCGAGAACTGCCACGCATGGGTCAAAACCCAAAACTAACTAAATAAATGAATAAAAATTAAGGGGCTGGAGCGATAGCACAGTGGTAGGGTGTTTGCCTTGCACGCAGCCAACATGACCGACTTGAGTTCGATTCCTCCACCCCTCTCGGAGAGCCCGGCAAGCTACCCATGATGTATTCGATATGCCAAACACAGTAACAACAAAGTCTCACAATGGAGACATTACTGGGCCTGCTTGAGAAAATCGATGAACAACGGGAGGACAGTGACAGTGACAGTGAAGGGAGATTAGAGAGAAAGATTAGAGATTAGAAAGGGCTTAAGGTGGTTGGTTTGCATGCACCAGTCAGGGTTCAATCCACAAACACCACTGCAAATCACCTTGAACATAGGAAAATGAGGATAGGCTGACATATTTTCTTTCTTAAGTGTAGTCGTAGTGATTAGAGCTTTCCTTGAGTCTGTAAAATATGTGGCATGTGCAACATTTTAGAATGTACTAATTTAAGTGTGTGATAACATACTGAATTTAACAACAGTATTTTCTGAGACTATATACATTTTTTTTTTACTTTGCTGAGACATTAGTAAGATCTTAAAAAGTTGCTTGCCAAAGAAACACGCTCAAGAATACTATTGTAGGGGCTGGAGTGATAGCACAGAGAGTAGGGCGTTTGCCTTGCATGCAGCCAACCCGGGTTCGAATCCCAGCATTCCATATGGTCCCCTGAGCACCGAAGGAGTGATTCCTGAGTGCAGAGCCGGGAGTAACCTCTGAGCATCGCCAGGTGTGACCCGAAAAGCAAAAAAAGAAAATACTATTATAGGAATCACATCCATTGTATAAATCTATGAGGGTCTTTTGGATGAATGGATGGACTAATCAAGTTCTCATGGTAATGATAATAGATATAAGCAGTAAAGCAAATTTTCTTCCGTGTGTATGTGTGTGTGTGTGTTTGTTGTCTGTCAATGGAGAGGAGGCAAGACAGAAACTAGCACTTTCTGTATATCCTTTCACCTTTTTCCAAATCAGGCATTTTCCAGACTCACAGGCCCCTCTCTCCTGTAAGTCTCCATCCAGTTAAACCTGAGCTACTTGTAGGGATGGGCAGGGGGAGTGGAGAACAACAGTGTGGCAGAGTTATCCTCAGTCTTATTCAGGTAGGTCCCATTAAGATATGCTGCCACCATTCCTTGACTGGACTCTACAAAGAGAATTACATGGCAAAGGGAATCTCACCTGACCCTCAACAGGCAGCTTTGCAGGAGCAAGGAAGGAACAATTAACCTGGGGCTGGAGAGATAGTACAGCAGGTAGGGTGCTTGCAGTTGACCTGGATTCAATCTCTGGCATCCCTTATGGTCCCCTGAACATTGTCAGGAGTAATTCCTGAGTGCAGAGCCAGAAGTAAACCCTGAGCGTCATTGGGTGGGGCCCCAAAACAAAAAACAAAAACAAAAACTTATTCCAAGGTATATCTTCTGCTTCTGATTATTTTTTCAATTAAATATGCTTTTTTTTCTTTTCATTGTATTGAAATGATTATTATTGAAAAACTAGATCTGAAAATTACTGTATGAATTCTAAGTGGGAATATAAGTTGAATGAATAATTTAAAGACTGTATTAGGTTCTGGTTTATGATGCTTTGTAGCATTTATCACACTGCAGTAACAATCATGTTTGGCTCTAACTTGCTTATTGCAAGATCTTTGAGATAAGGGCTATTTTATTTGATTTTTTATACTTAGTATTTACTCACCTATTAGTTCTATAATACATAAATTTATTTACAATATGGTTTATGTTTATGCTGTAGTAATATTTTTTAAACTGAAAAATCAGTTCTCTACTCAATAGGAAACTTAAAAGTAATTCATGGAGCTAAATTATCTAGATCCTCAAGGTTTAGATGAGTTATTGATTTTTATTATTTTTATTTTTGCCACACCTAGTGGTACTGGTACTTGGCAACTATTACTGGCATGGGGCTCAAGAGTTGCCCCCAGTTGTGCATAGGGGTGCATGTAGTACTGGGACTGAACCCAGAGCTCCCACAGATAAAACGTGTTCAGTCTGTTGAGCTATCTCTCCAGACTACACAGAATAGTGATTCTTAAACTTTTTTTTTTTCAGTACTGGGGATCAAACTCAGTTTGAGGCATACATTTAATACTGAGTCACATCCCTGGTTCTTAAATTATTTTTTTTGGATCAAAGATTCTCTTTGAGAATCTAAGGAAAATGTTAATGACCTCTTCTGTGACAATATATTAAAATCTATGGTTTGAAGAATTAATGAAAGCAGTATTTCTCTGTAGTCCTCTAGGATTCCCTTCCTTTCTGCCATCTGATGCCCTTTTTGTAAGTCTACTCATTACATTGACAGAAAGTTGGAACACCCACAACTTACCTCAGTCTCATATGATAGGATTTCTGCTCTGCTAGTTTAGACACCTGCAGTTTCTGAGTATACCTACTGTGTTCCCAGCTTTCTGAATCAACACCCCCAAAATGATCTCCCTCTCACCCTTCTCTCTCCTTCTCCCTGACCAAGGAGGATGAAGAATGGAGATGGAGGACATCACTTTATTTTTCAGTAATAAGATGTCCTTTCTTCCCCCAAAGATACATTGCATCAATATTTTTGGGGGGCTGGGGCCACACCTGGCAGTGCTCAGGGTTTACTCCTGGCTCAGTGCTCAGGGACCACTTCTGGCAGGGTCAGGGAACCATATAGGGTTCTGGGAATTGAACTCTGTTTTACCGTGTGCAAGGCAAATGCCCTACATGCTGTGGGGCTCTGGCCTCCCAAATTGCATCAATATTTGAACGAGCCTACCTCATCTCTTCTTCAGTTTTATTATCTTCTTTCTGAATTTTCATTTGCAGAGTGTCTTGGTCCATCAGAAAGAAAGATTAATTTTGATTTATCTACCTGTGGGTAGTAACCAGGTACTGTGTGATGTGTCGTTTCCAAGTTACCTATAACACAGAATTTAAAATTTGTTTTGAAATAAAATTATAAAAATTCCATATAACATTTGAATATATAACATATATTAGTAAAACAAAAGTTAACATTCAAGATAAAATATCAAACTTCAAAATATAAAACTTGTAAAAAATTTAAGATAAACTTTTATAACTTAGTCCTACCAACATTCATATAAATGAATTTAACCTTGCATTTTACTGTTCTAGTCTCATTTTGTGTTTAACTTTTAGAAAGTAGATTAGTCACGTTTGTTTTGTGTGTGTGTGTGTGTGTGTGTGTGTGTGTGTGTTTGGTTTTTTGGTTTGTTTGTTTTGGGAGCCACACCTGGCTGAACTCAAGGCTTACTCCTAATTCTGTGCTCAGGGGTCACTCCTGGTAGTGCTTGGGTGATCATATGCAGTACCAGGAATTGGACGAAGGTCAGCTGATTGCAAAGCAAGTGCCTTACCCACTGCACTATCTTTCCAGTATCTGGATTTTATAATGTGTTCATTCCTTTATTATGACACTTAACATTCCACATCTGCACCCTGTTTATAATATCCACCTCCTTTTCCAACAGTAATGCATGGATTGCCCTTTTCACTGCTAATTTCCAATTCTAGGTATATCAAATTTGTAAGAATTTCAGTAACACTTTTTTACCTCATTTAATTTTTTTATTTATAATAATTATAATCTATAATTAAGTTTTAATTATAGATAATTGATTCTTTGGTGCTAATGTGAATGAGGCTGTTTTCCTAATTTCTTTTTCAAATAATTCACTGTTAATGTATATAGATTACTTTATGGATTGTTTCTGTTCATTAGGTGGAGGAGCACAATATATTATAAAAACGTCAAAAAGAATTAAATGAGTATAATTTTTAAATCTGTAAACATTAAGACTTAATTTTGTTGAACTTTTTATTATTTTTATTATTTTGTTGAAATTCACCAGAGAAATTGAAAATTAATAGTTATGCTTGAAGAAGAAAATTTGAAATCTACTAAGATTTGCTACATTATTTTTAGAATTTGCTCGAGCGGGCCCAGTAACGTCTCCATCGGAGACTTTGTTGTTACTGTGTCTGGCATATCGAATACTCTCGGTAGCTTGCCGGGCTCTCCGAGAGGGGCGGAGGAATCGAACTCGGGTTGGCCATGTTGGCCGCTTGTAAGGCGAACGCCCTACCCGCTGTGCTATCGCTCCAGCCCTCCATATGATAAAAATTATTTTTAGAATAGGCCCACTTCTTTTGGGAAGACCGGTATTGAATTCTATGAGAACGTTTCTTGTTTGGATTTGGGGCCACATCTGATGGTGCTCATGGCTTACTCATGGCTCTACACTCAGAGCTCACTCCTGTTGATACTCAGGGGAACATGTGGAGTACTGGGGACCAAACCTGGTTAACTGTGTGCAAGGAAAGCACCCTATCCACTGTACTATCACTCTGGCCCTGTATTATGAGCACTTTTAATCATTATTAGCTGTTTGGCATCTTTAGTATAACACTGAAAATATGTAAGTGCTGGGATACTTAAGGAGCATACATGTCTTCTGTCTATTTTATAGGTTTCAGATCTTGAGAATTTCTGCCAGAACACTGCCAACAAAATAATCGCTCATAGTACACAATAAGTTAAGAATGTCCCATTCTGGGCCAGAGCGATAATACAGCAGGCAGGGCAATTGCCTTGCATGTGACCAACCTGGGTATGATCCCTGCATCTGATATGATCCCCTTAGAAGAGATCCAGAAGTTAAGTCCTGAGCATTGCTGGGTGTAGCCCCAAAGCAAAAAAAAAAAAAAGATGAAATTTCCATTCTTCAAAATTATTTTATATTTTTTAAAATTTAATGGATGCAATATGATTAAATAATTTGTTAGCCATGCTTCCTCTGACCTAACCCCTTTCCATGACCTTGCCTTGTTTCCTGTTATTAGAAAAAAGAGATCATTAAGCATTCAAACACTATTATGGAATAGATAAAGAAATTCAGTTCAATGTTATATATATTAAAAAATTTAAAGAATTAACTCTAGGATGCACCCCAATATGACAAAAATTAAAAGGTAAAAAGGTAAAGGCCCTCCCGTTGATCGTCGATTTGCTCGAGCGGGCCCAGTAACGTCTCCATTGGAGACTTTGTTGTTACTGTGTTTGGCATATCAAATACTCTCGGTAGCTTGCCAGGCTCTCCGAGAGGGGCCGAGGAATCGAACTCGGGTTGGCCATGTTGGCCGCTTGTAAGGCAAACGCCCTACCGCTGTGCTATCGCTCCAGCCCTCCATATGATAAAAATTATTATTCATTAATTTGTTTAGCATTATTAAGCAAGGATGAGATCATTCTATCCTCTATAATACAAACTTATAAATATTAGTTACAGAAGCACCTCAAAGAAAACAAAGACCAGAATGCAAAGACAGCCCACGGAATGGGAACAGTTATTCACCCAACACCCATCTGATAAGTGGTTAATATTAAAAATATATAAGGCACTGGAAGAACTTTACAAGAAAAAAATCCATCCCCATCATAAAATGGGGAGAAGGACAGAAATTTCCTCAAAGAAGAAATACAGGTGGCCAAAAGACACACGAAAAAAATCCTCTGCATTACTAATCATCAGGGAGATGAAAATCAAAAGAACAATGAGATACTATATCACCACAGAGACTGGCACATATCAAAAAGAATAACCAGTACTGGTGTGGATGTGGGAGAAAGGGACTCTCATTCATTGTTGGTGGGAATGCTGGATGTCCAGAATTTTAGGAAAACAGTAAGAACACTCCCCCCAAAAAACTGGAAATTGAGCTTCCATATGACTCAGCAATACACTCCTGGGGATATACCCTAGGGCTCCCAAAACACAATGCAGAAAAGCCATCAGCATTACTATGTTCATTGCAGCACTATTCATAGTTGCCAGAATCTGGAAACAACCCAAGTGTCCAAGAACAGATGACTGGATAAAGAAACTATGGTACATTTGTACAATGGAATAGTACAAAGCTGTTAGAAAAAAAATTAAGTCATGAAATTTGTTTATGCATCATGGATGGACATAGAGAGTATCATGCTGAGTGAAATAAGTCATTTGTGGGATATAAAAAAACACAGTATGAGACTAATACTCAAACAGTAGAAAGGAGGGCCAGGAGGACTGGTCCATGGGTAGGAAGCCTGCCACAAGTTGTGGAGAAATGCAGTTAGACAGAGAAGGGATTGCTATGACAATGACATTTGGGAATGATCACTCTGGACAAGCACTGAGTGCTGAAATAAGTTAAAGTAATATACATTATAATCTTTCAATAACAGTATTGTAAACCACAGTCCTTAAAAGAAAAGAGAAAGAGAGGGGAGAGAGAGAGAGAGAGAGAGAGAGACAGACAGACAGACAGACAGACAGACAGACAGAGAGAGCACGCAAGAGAGTAAGCAAGAGAGAAAAAAGTTATTGCCACAGAGGTACGCCTGTGGGCAAGGGCTGGAGGGAAATGGGGACAAGGGTAGTGGGAAATGTATACTGGTGAAGGGATGGGTATTGGAATATTCTATGACTGAAACCCAATCATGAACAATTTTGTAACTGTATCTCACAGTGATTTAATTAAGATTGTTTTTTTTTGCTTTTTTGGGTCACACCTAGTGATGCACAGGGGTTACTCCTGGCTCTTCACTCAGGAATTACTCCTGGCAGTGCTTGGGGACCATATGGGATGCTGGGAATAGAACCTGGGATGGCCATATTCAAGGCAAATGCCCTACCCGCTGTAGTATCATTCCAGCCCCTAAAGAATTTTTTAAATACAAAAATATTAACAAGAAAGGCAATCTAATCAAATTCCATAGCAAAGTAACGGAAAAATATAAAAAAAAACAAAAAATTGGGGTGTACACTGATAGGTCAAGTTCTAGAATATAGATACAGGCATAGTTATAATGCCTTTTTATTTTTCTATCTTAATGAAAATTTTGCATTGGTGCTAAACAAGCATACAGTGATACATACATTTTGACTTATTACCTTAGTTGATGATTGTTTCTCCATCTACATAGCCAATACTCATACATTATTGTGGACTCCACACCAGGCTGTTTTCACTCGGGATGCCCCAGAGTGGGGCAGGTGAGAGCCCTCCCAACCGAAGGGACCCAGCTCCGGCAGTCAACCTCCACTACCCAACCACTGCCATGCTTCAGGCTGCTTTCTGGACGCCCAGACCAAGCCTCATGCATGAAGTCCCACCGAACCCAGATAATGCGGAACTTTGTGACCTGGGACTCTGGACTCAATGGACCCAGGAGCAGAGATCCTCTGTCTGCTTCTCCCAGTCTTCGTGACTCAGGGATCACACCAATATGCCACACGCTGCCAGCACCAGATAATCTCCTCATTGGCCACCCTCCAGAACTGATGGCTGCTTCTCCCAGACTGAAATATAACATGAGGCCTCCATAACCATGCCACCAGACTCCATACCAGGCTATTTTCACTCAGGGGGTCCCAGAGTGGGGCAGGTGAGAGCCCTCCTTGTCCCATGGGACCTAACCCCGGCAGCTGACCTCCACTACCCAACCACCGCCATGCTCCAGGCTGCTTTCCGGACACATCATAAGACAGTTCCTATCCATTTTCCATAATTACCACACCATATTTGATGGGGTTCAGACAGTAGGCAACAAATCACAGAGAGAAATATATAAATATATGCTTTTTGGAGAGCCCGGCAACCTACCAAGAGTATCCCGCCCGCACGGCAGAGTCTGACAAGCTCCCCGTGGCATATTCAATATGCCAAAACCAGTAACGACAACAGGTCTCATTCCCCTGACTCTGAAAGAGCCTCCAATCGTTGGGAAAAGACGAGTAAGAAGAGGCTGCTAAAATCTCAGGGCTGGGAGGAATAGAGATGTCACTGGTTCCTGCTTGAGTAAATCGATGAACAACAGGATGACAGTGATACAGACAGTGAATAATCATACATGTTTGCCAGATGTAACATAACACATTTTCCCCACATTCTAGGCTCATATTTTTGTTTGTTTGTTTGGGGGCCACATCCAGTGATGCTAGAGGGTTACTTCTGGCTCTTTGCTCAGGAATTACTCTTGGTGGTACTTTGGGGACCATACGGGAGGCCAGGAATTGAACCTGGCAAACCCCTTACAAGGCAAGCACCCTCTCAACTATACTATCTCTCCAGCCCTCTTGGCTCATGTTTACATAGCTTAAATCGTCAGACTCAGTATGAAATACAGTTCTTATTTATTAAAGGGTACCATTTTTATAGATAAATATAAGGAAATTGTTATAAATACAAGCAAATTTTCCTAGAAATTGCATTAATCTTTATACACAATTAATTAGGTTTTAAAAAAAGCCCTACCCTTAACCTTCTGCTTACTGCTCTACCATCCCATCGCAGGTGAGATATGCCTCCAGCTAACATCACTGGGCCTATTCCAGAATGAAAAGCAGCCCTTCCCTGCTGGGAGGGTCTCAGCAGCCTCCACACCCGACCTACACCATATTAATGACCCATACCACAGCTCCAACAGGTCTCAACAAATTACATGCTCTGCTCACAGTTATTCTTCCTGTCATTCTGTGAGGATGAGCAGAGAAGATAGAAAGCAGCCTCCAGTTTAATCCCTTAGCATCTCCTGAGAAGGCTAACTATAAAGGCTAACTATAACTCACTCCTAGCACAGCAATAACACTAAAAAATCAAAGGAGAGGGGCTGGATCGATAGTACAGCAGGCAGGCCATTTGCCTTGCACGCAGCTGACCCAGGTTTGATTCCCAGCATCCCATATGGTCCCCTGAGCATTTCCAGGAGTAATTCCGGAGTGCAGGAGCCAGGAGTAACCCCTATGTATGGCCAGGTGTGACCCCCCAGAAAAAATTATCACCAAAGACATAAATAACCTCAGTAAGTCCTCAGTGTCTTTAGTGACACTATGATAAGGATGTTCAGTGAGTTCAAAGAAACAATAGCACAGGTAAGCAAAGCACAAAAAAAATGAAAATTGATATGAAAAACCTTCAGTGATGATGAAAATGAAGAACATGGTAGGTGATGTAAAAAATTAATAGAAGCTCTGAACATCAGAATAACAGAAGATAAACAAAAGATCAGAGATCCAAGAAGGGTGAAACCAGTAGGAAACAGCAGGAGAGGAAAATATTCTGAAAGGAAATGAACAGCATATCAGAGGACTGTAGGATGAGTTCAAGAGGAACAATAGAAGAATCGTTAGAGTCCCTGAAGAACAGGAAGGCAAGTGTAATGAAGAAACAATAATTAAGAAGTCATCGATTAAAAACTTCCCAGAGTTGAAGATTACAGGCACCAAGATCCAAGAGGCCCAAAGGGTCCCAGTGAAAATAGATCCCAATTAGAAAAACTCTAAGGCACATCCTACTTAAAATGACAAAATTCAAAGATAGAGACAATAATGAAAGCAGCACGATCAAAAAGAGGAACTTACAAAGGAAAGTTTTGATCTACTGTAGATCAAATAAGAGATCTATGAGCCAGAAGAATCTGGAAGTATTTAGCACAAAAGCTCAACAGAATGAAACTTTCACCAAGAATACTCTATCCAGCTAGATTATCATTCAGTTTTGAAGGAACTATACAGAGCTTCATGGACAGGCAACAGCTTAGGGAATTCATAGCATTGAAACCAGTTTTGCAAGAAGTTTTAAAAATGCTCTTTTAAAGGATAAAAGCTTCCCATTATGTGGCATTGAGTATGGAACTAATAGTGAATATGGTTGTCCTCTACTAGACTAAGGAAGCATCAAAAAATGGACTTTTATTGACTTGTTATTGGGTAATTATATTTGCCATTCTTTTAAGTTATATTGAACCAAGAAATATGAAATAAATTTGGTGGTTGGGAACCTGGGGATACTGGTGAAGGAAAAGGAACATTGGTAGTGAGAGAAAAAAAAACCCTGCCTTTGGGCATAAGAAGTTAACTCAGTGATCGGGATACATGCAACACTCCATGTTTGGGGGCCTCAAGTTCAAACTCTCCCCCACACAGTGCACAGTATTGTTACCTACCAGCATAGCTAGGTGCAATCCTGTCAGCATGGTTTGGTGGTTCCTAACCATACAGGCCCCAAGAAACTTTATATATCAGGCCTTAGCATTGAACTGCCCTGCTTGGTTGACAAAGTATTGGCAGGAGTAGCATTGGGGCTCCTGAGCATTGCTTGGAAGCCCCTTCAAAAACCAGAAAACCACCCTAGACAAAACAGTTTATAAAAGGGGCAATTTGGCAAAAAAAAAAGTACTCTAAAGGTAACGTTGAAAAGGCACGTGGGATATATTCTCCACCTTGGCCATTCTCTCATGTTTCATTTTGGTCTGAGGTGTGTGATTTTCACTTTATGGCACATTCTCTATCTTGGGTATTCACCTGCATCCCAGCCAGAAATGGGATGCTTTTTCCCCTCTGGAAAATCCCTTGTTCTCTCTCGAACACCTCTCTCCTCAGACTCGCCCCCACATGCTTCTCTTTTTTTTTCTTTTTGGGTCACACCCGGCGATGCACAGGGGTTACTCCTGGCTCAGTACTCAGGAATTACCATTGGAAGTACTCAGGGGACCATATGGGATGCTGGGATTCAAACCTGGGTTGGCTGCATGCAAGGCAAACGCCCTACCTGCTGTGCTATCACTTCAGCCCTCCCCCCACATGCTTCTCTAAATAGGAATAAGGTACTTCAAAAACTCTGAACAAAACACCCTTGTTTTTCAGTGTTTTCTTATTAAATGGAATATGCCCTCTGCCTGTAGCCAAGCCAAGCCAAGCATCAGTCTGCTTACTTAAGTAGGAGGTGCTTGTATCCTTTGGTTTAACATTCTTTTTCTTGCTGCTTTTTTTGGCATCTTTGGATGCTTTCCAATTCATTAGGAATTGTCTTTCCATATTTTTAATTTCTTTTCCATCCAGAAATTCTAGAGAAAAAAATATATTAAAATTGGATAGGATAGGGTAGGGGCCTAAGGATAACTAAGTGGCAAAAACATGTCTTCGAAACATGAGGGTAGGTGAATTGAGTCCCTGGCACGAGCATAGCAGGAGCCCTGTAGCAGTGCTTTTTGGGACCCCAGGTGCCATGTTGAAATCTGCTTGATCTCTGGTGCATCACAACACAGGCGTATGTGAACACCGCAAAAAAATTATGCAGGCCCCATAACCAGTGCTAGATCCCTGGCAAAGCAAAACAACTAAGTGTGTGTGCCACTACTTATCACAAGAGTAATAACTACAGTAGGGAAAGGCAGAGCAACACATACAAATAAGGTAATTAAAAGATATATAATACATACATAGGTAAAATTATATTTAAGGCACAGCATCTTGAATACAGTAATGAATTTGTACTTGAATGTGCTTATCTTTTGTTTGGGCTACACCTGACATTGCTTAGGGCTTACTCCTGGCTCTGAATTAAAGGACCACTCCTTGCTGTTCTGAGAGGACAATATTGGGTGATGAGATAGAACCCTGGTTGGTTGCATGCAAGGCATACTACCACTCCAGCTCTGCTGTACTCTCTCTCTAGTACCATTACTCATTTTTATACTCAAGTACAACAGGTCACAGAAGTTTTGATAGTGGAACCCCCCTCACAGATCTCCTCTTGTGAGGTCCTTGTAGAGTTTCCTCACCTGTATCAAATGTAAGGGACACCTCTGTGTCACTTGGAAAATGTTAAGCAGTGAAAACCTTGATCAGTTTATTTTATAGCACCAAGAGCTAAAGAGTCTCTTGGGATCTTCAGAGGGATTGTGATAATGGAATTCTGGAAAAAGGTCAATGAATTCTATAAATTTATGATAACCGTTTTTGCCGGTAGTAGCCACATTTTCTTCTTACAGAACCATAATTGCTTCTGAACAGTAAGTAATTTTTCATGTCTCATTTCTTTACTTTTAACTTAAAATATAAAATTTAAGGTAAAATTATTATGCTTCTGAAGATTTGCCGAGAAGTTAACTAAAGAGTTATCCAGATCTCTTTCCTTAGGAGAATTAGACTAAATACAATAAAAATATGTACCCAGTGATTTTGACACCAATATTAATCTGTCTCTGTATTTTTGTTTGATGCAAACAGGATTTCCTTTTAGATCCAATTTCCACATCTTCACCAACTTTTCCAGTAAAATCTCTAAATCCTGTAATTAGAGAATAAAAAAACAAGATATAAATAATTCATATTTCAATATTTCTTTGATGACAGCTAACTTTTAAAGGTAATTATTGTTTTTCTTGGAGTCTCAGCTCCATGCCAGGTACTTAAAAGGTGAATATTATTATTTTATTAAAAATAAAATTATTGGGGGCTGGAGAATACTGTGAGCGGGCTTTGCCTTGCATGTGTCTGACCTGGGTTTGATCCTCAGTACCCTGCCAGTCCCCCATGTGCCCCCATAAGTAATTCCTGAGTGAAGAGGCAGAAGGAACCCCTGAACACTGCCATGTGCTGCCCCAAAACAAAAATAAACAAAATTTATCTACATTGATAATAGAGGGATCTAAAAATGACACAAAAGTTGAAACCTAATTTGAATCTGTCCTTTGGAACAGATGGTCAGAAGAATAGAGGAATTGTTCACTGTTAAACTGCCTTAAATGGATCTGCCTTAGAATTCAGAAAACACTTTTATCTTTCTAACCACTTTATGCTACAGAAGACTTCCTGTTCTTAGAGAAATTTGTAAAAGTTTATAGATTAAAGCAATTTAAGGAATAGTGAGTAAATCATTTGTTTGATTTTGCAACAAACCATATATATTTACTTTATAAAGAATGCATTTTTATTAAAATCTGTAAAAAATATTGAAGGTAACAGAGAAGGAAAGATCAATTGCAAGCATATCACCCAAAGATCACTTTTTTTTTGTAGGCCTGTGGTAGATGGCTTTATTTATTTATTTTTCTCTCTAAATGTTTTTTTTTTTTAATTTTTTATTAGTGAAACACCATGAGGTACAGTTGTAGACTTACAAATTTTTGTGCTTGGGTTTCAGTTATACAATGATCGAGTACCAATTCCTCCACAAGTGCCCATTCTCCACCATCACTAATCCCAGTATCCCTCCCACCCCCCACCCCCCATCCCTCTGTGGCAGGGCATTCCCTTTTGTTCTCTCTCTCCTTTTGGGTGCTGTGCCAAAGATCACTTTTAACATTAAAATATATGTTGTTTTGTATTCTTGTTTTCTTTGAACATATGATTTATTTATTTTGGGGGGATTTGGGGTACACCTAGCAATGCTTAGGGATTTTCTTTTAACTCTGCACTCAGGAATCACTCCTGGTGGTGGTCAGGATACCATATAGAGTGCTGGGAATCGAATCCTGGGTGGCTGTGTGTAAGGCACTGCTCTTACCTGCTGTACTATCTCTCTGACTCCAGTATATGGATTTACTTTTTTAATTGCCATAATACTTTGGGTATAGTTTTTTTATATAAATATTTTCACATTTTTATAGCTAACAGGAAAACTAGCTAATTATTTCAAGGAGTAATTAAATTATATACCATAGAGCAATAGCACAGTGGTAGGGCGTTTGCCTTGCAAGATGCCAGCCCGGTCGAGCCAGGTTCAATTCCTCTGCCCCTTTCGGAGAGCCCAGCAAGCTACCGAGAGTATTTCGCTCGCATGGCAAAGCCTGGCAAGCTACCCGTGATGTATTCGATATGCCAAACACAGTAACAAGTCTCACAATGGAGACGTTACTGGGTCCGCTCAAGCAAATCGATGAACAACGGGAGGACAGTGACAGTGACAGTGACCTATAATCCAAATGAGCGTGAGGAAAACAGATTAATGGCAGTTAAGTCCTAGTTCTCTTAGTTTGACCTTCACATTCTCTTTTTCACAGCTTGGGCTCCTTTTTCTATTCAGTGTCAATATTTCTCCAATGCCTTAAGTTTCCATCATTATTTTCTTTGCTTTCTCTTCTTCATCATTAAAAAATATGCATTATTTTAGTTATATTTTAATGGAAGTGAAATATACTTTGGGTATTATTGTATGCACTTATATATATTTAATATAAAAAGCTATGGCTGGAAGATAGCACAGTGATTAAGGCACTTGCTTTGTGAAAGGCCCACCCTAGTTCGACCTCCAGGACCATGTGGAGTGACCCAGAAGCACAGAACCAGAAGTAGCTCCCAAGCACCACCAATGTAGTCTGAAAATGCTAAAAATTCTCCCTCCCCAAATCATAATTTGTAATATGTCAAAAATTATTCAAAACAAGTAATACAAAATAATTTTCTACTCTGAGAGCTTAAATTGATTTTTTAAAATTCAGTAGATGAAAGCAAAAAAAGAGAAGACGACAACTATTTTGGGTCACACCTGGCGATGCACAGGGGTTACTCCTGGCTCTGCACTCAGAAATCACTCCTGGTGGTGCTCAGGGGACCATATGGGATGCTGGGAATTGAACCTGGATCGGCTGAGTGCAAGGCAAACGCCCTACCCGTTGTGCTATCTCTCCAGCCCCAGAATATTCTTTTAAAGCAATTGTTTTGCTGTTAATAGTAATAAGTGCTTTAATAACTCATTCTATGGAGAAAATTCTGGTTTAAATAGTATTGTGGGGGCTGGAGCGATAGCACAGTGGGTAGGGCATTTGCCTTGCATGCAGCCGACCCAGGTTCGATTCCCAGCATCTCATATGGTCCCCTGAGAACTGCCAGGAGTAATTCCTGAGCGCAAAGCCAGGAGTAACCCCTGAGCATCGCCAGGTGTGACCCAAAAAGCAAAAATAAATAAATAAATAAATAGTATTGCTATGTATGTGATATTGTAAATAGGGATGAATATTCTTTAGAATATGGGATGAACATCACAGTATTCAGAATTCCAGAGGAGAGCAGAGAACTATGGTTCTTCCATTTGTTTTCTAAGACTTGACCAAAACAAAGACCAAAATTATTGTAGGAGTATATGAGAAAATTGCCAAATAAAAATTGTGAATTATATTGATTCACGAATTTGGAGGAGGGTGTTTAGGTCACACCAGGTGATGCTTGGGGGCTACTTCCAGCTCTGTGCTCTGGGATCACTCCTGGCAGTGCTTGAAGGGACCATGTGGTACTGGGATTGAACCGGGTCAATTATAAGACAGGAGACTTAACCCCTGTGCTATCTCTCCAGCTCCTAATTCACACATATTTTTAATTTAAAGCTAAAAGCAATGAAACATGGAACTCGGACTCTTGTTGGGACAGGGAGGAAAGGGCCGGCTCCACCCCCATCCCGTGAGGCCCGTGTCTCATCACTGCGGGCCCAAAACTGACTGTCCAGTGGCCTCTGGAGGATGGCGGCCACCGGGCCACCAGGGGCAACAGGCCAAGACACGAAATCTATTCCCACCTGCGGTGGCACAGCGCCAGTAACCTACTGCAGGGACTGGACGCATTTCTGCCAAAAGGCAGGGGAAAAGGGTGCTGTCCCTCCACCTGCTCCCCCTTGGCAGCTTGGTGGCCACCATCCACCAGAGGCCACTGGACAGTCAAGTTTGGGCCTGCAGTGACAAGACACACGGGGCCTTACAGGATGGAGTGGAGCCAGCTCTTTCCTCCCCGTCCCATTGAGTCCCCGAGTCACTACCCATGAATGGCCTCTCTGGCTCCTGATCTAGCTGTTTAATGGCCATGATCAGAGACTCAGAAACAAATCTCAGAACCTAGTGGCTTTTGGCAGAAATGCGTTCAATCCCACAGTAGGTTACTGCCACCAGGCCACCCCAGGGGGGAAAGGATGTTGTCTCTCCACCTGCTCCCCCTAGTTGCTCGGAGGCCGCCATCCTCCTGAGGCCACTGGACAGTCTGGTTTGGGCCCTCAGCGACAAGACACGCGGGGCCTCAAGGGATGGGGGTGGTGCTGGCCCTTTCCTCCCCATCCCAACGAGACCCCGAGTCACCGCCCATGAACCATCAACTTTCTGGCTCCTGATGAAGCTGCTTAACGGCCATGATCCAAGAGACTCAGGAACAAATCTCGGAAACCAGCAGGTTTGGGCAGAAATCCCTCCAGATTTAAGTTTTAAAGTTTTGGAATTTCAAAATCGAGCAGCCACTACTGCAGCCATGCAACATCATATGTTATTCATAACCAGCAATAGAAAACAAATTGTCTACTGTTGCCTTTTTGGCAGATCTGAGCGTTGGGGTAAAATTGCAAATAATAGTGGTGGATCTGGTGTCAAAATATTGAATGTAATCAAAGTAGAGAGAGAGAGAGAGTAATGTGGAAATCATCTGCCCCACAGGTAGGGGGAGGGTGTAGGATGGGGGTATACTGGGATTTTCGGTGGTGGAGAATGGACACTGGTGAAGGTACAAGTGTTTCATTGTACGAATGAGACTTAAACCCAAAAGCTTTATCACTGCTCTCATGGTGATTCAATAAATAAAATTATAAAAATAAAAAGGTGGAGTTCATGCCCATTTCAATCAGCTAATCAGTGGCTGAATAAATAGCAGTACTCCTACACAAAAAAATATTAAAAATAAATAAATAAATTTGGACCATCCAGATGTACACTTGTATCGACATGAAGAATGCTATCTTTGGGGAATAATTGTAAATGAGGATCTAGAATCTCTGGTAGGTTTCAGCTTTAAGACTGTTGGTAAATTGGAGGCTGGAGTGATAGTACATCGGGTAGGGCATTTGCCTTGCATGTGGCCAACCCTGGTTCGATTCCCAGCATCCCATATGGTCCCCTGAGCACCGCCAGGAGTAATTCCTGAATTGAGAGCCAGGAGTAACCCCTGTGCAACGCCGGGTGTGACCCAAAAAGCAAAAAAAAAAAAAATACTATTGGTAAAAATATTTTCAGGCTTTCCTTCCTCATTATTCATGAATCCTGGGCTATGTTTTGTGCTAGATTAAGGTATCTAAGTAAATAAGTTATGTGAAAAGAATCTAAGGAATATTAAAAGATGGAGGCAACCCAAATTTCAGGCACTTCTGCTTGTTTAGACAAATCCTTAGACAAGTCTGTGTCCTCATTTATAAGGTGAGGACTGTTGGGATTAGTTGTTATAATATGTTAACTATCTTGAAAAAAACCCAAATAATTTAGTAATAATTGTGCTAATTCTCTTCCTCTATGCCAGCTCAGTTGGTCATCAAAAAACCAAAGG